GGTTTGCTATCGAGTTTATAATATCCTGCTGAATCTCGGGTTTCACTATCTCCAGTAATTGGCAGAGAGAAATCTGGTTTTTTTTATTTGATATTTGTTTAATGATATGAGATATGGCTTTATCAGCTGAGGACTTGGCATGGTAAAAAGAATTGGATGAATTTTCATCTATTTTCAAACCCAGCTCTTTTGCTTTTTCATATATAATAGTTAAACACTGTCCACTCGAATCACAAACTACTTCTGTATCCCTACCATTAACCGATACTATTACTGGTGCGATTTTATAATTTTTTTCTTGTAAATTTTGACGAATTGACTCACTAATATTATTTTTTGTCATTGTATATTTTTAATTATTTTTATTAATATATGATAAAAAATACATTATTGAATATATATTATTAAAAATAGAACTATAATGACAACTTTATTCTGCGAAATCAATAAAGTACCAGTTATAGCTATATTAGATTCCGGTGCTAATTGTTATTATAGGTAATAAGGTAGTAAACGAGCTAGGTCTGAAAATTGATGATATATCTAATGCAGAAATATATGATCCTATTAGCAAGCTTGATGTAGTAGGAGGAATTCGCGAAATAGATGTTTCAATCCTGTCGAAAGACTATAAATAGGAGCGAGTAAAAGTCACTGATACAGAATAACAACAAATTAGTAATTTTACTCAAGAAGTAAGGGTACTTATATGCTTAATTAAACAAATCAATCATTATTATGTATCATTGAATTCATATATTCCCAACGATACCCTCCAGTATAATCTTGAAGTCCTCTACATACCCTTCCGATATTTGAACTATGAATTCCAGTTATGCGTTGTGCTTCAGCTAATGATGGAAATTCTTGAGTAGAACCATTATTGAAAATTTGCTTAATAGCACATTGTCACATCCAGCCATCCCAAAGTCTGATGCGTAGAGCATGTTGTATATTTTCTTTTTGTGTGTACTATTCAAGGTTCGAAGCTTTATTGTTAGTGGAATTTCCATCGATATGATTTTTATAATTTTTATCTGGTTCTTTTGGGCAAAAAGCCAGTGCTATTAAACGATGAATATAATAATTTTTGATTCTTCTACAAATTCGAAGATATCCTGAATATAAATTTCCTTGTGTAATCATGCCATTTATTGATTGAACTCTACCTAGAGATGACACCTTAAATTTTTCTGAATTTAACTCTATCTCTTTCCATTTTTCATTGGGATCAGGTTGTATATAGTTTTCATAGTACACCCATTTCCATCCTCCAGCAGAATTTTGTTTTTCACTACAACACATTGAGATAGCATTTTTATGAATTTTAAGTGTATCTTGTACAAGAGAAAGCGAATCCCAAATCTGAATAATATTACCATCTAATCCCATTTGTACAACTTTTCAAGATCTACTTCAACCAGAATTTGGAAATACTTTGCGATTAGTATTTTCTTTTGGACTCACCCACTCTAAATTATCCACTCGATTATCAGTTTTAATCCCATTAATGTGATTAACAAAAGATCTTTTTTCTGGGTTGGGGATAAATGCTTGTACAACTAGTCTATAGATATAAAAAGGTTTACGAGTATTGTTGATACTGATTTGTGTTAATACATAACTATGTTCTTTGTGAACATATCTTTTTAAAATTATACCTTTTTTGTTCTTGACATACCCGTGATTGGAAATAAAATAATTCGAATTTGCTATTGGTAACCAAATCTCTATTTTAATGTTTACTGCGTATCATTAATTTATTTTCAAATTAGGGTGAATTATCGGAGCAGTAATCTTCCTCAAGAAAGGCAAAGCTGTTTTCACGATCCTTTGAACTATACGAAGAGAATCAGTAATTAATTATCTGAACATTAGTTATTTTTCGGTTAAATATATATAATAATACATTACTTGAGAATGGCGCAACTAAATATTTTTGATTTACCAAAATTACTAGAACAGATCTTATATTTTTTAAAAATTAATCGATGCCTCTATTCTGTTTTATTTGTCAACCACCTTTGGTATTACTGCGGTGCTCCTATTCTATAGCGAGATATTGATTTTTTCATAGATTGTCAAGGAAACACATATAATAACAATTCATCTGGAGATCTTTATTGGCAATTATTGAAGTTTAAAAGAGTTATGTGTGGAAAGATAAAGCCACTCTATTGTTCAAAGATGGTATATCTTAGTTTGGAAGGTTTAAAAATCTCGGATGCTTTGATCAGTGCAATTCTGCATTCATGCCAGATATACGCTTTCTTATTCTTAATCGAAGTTATGGTTTTACTAATATACCAATTATAGAAATTGCAAAATTTTGTCCGAAATTAATACACTTAAGTCTTAATTCATGTAAATGTCTCACTAATCGATATATCACTGAAATTACTCGCTCGTGCCCAAAACTTAGACATGTTGAGCTTGGTGATTGTTCGATCGGTAATAAAGCTGTTGAGGAAATAGCCCGCAACTATACTAATTTGAAATATCTTAGTTTGGAGAGGTGTAAAGGGATCAGCGAAGAAGCGATGAAAAAACTTAATCCTAAAATTAAAATCGAATATCCTGATTATTCCGATGATGATTTCTCGGTTTCTGATTTACCTCCACTTATTTCAATTTCTACATTCAGGAATTATATCAGAGAAGTGTCAGGTCCAACTAATTCAGAACGAATTAATTTATTAAATAGTCTCGCTCGAGCTATTGATCAAGGATTACATCGATCGTGGCAAGGGCTTTAGGCAGATAATTAATTATTAGTTATTTTTTTTTGGTTATATTATACATCATTAAATAATATCGCAGGATATGTATTATTCTAACTATAGAAGAATAGAGCAGGTAATCAGGTGTTCGACAATCTCCAGCTAATTTCAAACAAAGAATTTTTATTTGCTGTGACGTATATATTTCCGTGATAATTTTCCCTTCTTTACTTTTGATTCTAGACATGAGTACTGATTGTTGCTAGCTAAATTTTTTACAAAAATTTCATGCAATTGTTGAGGAGTAAGATTTGGAAATAGAGGAAGTTCCTCTTCAGTAAACCGAATTTTCTTTACCCCCATTTCACCATATTTCGGTAAAATCACACCTGGATCATCTTCTAATAGACCGTGAAATTCCTCAAGCTTTTGTAGTTGTGCTCTTATATTCTTATCAACTTCTTCTGCCCTTTCTTAATTAGAATAACCAATAATACCGAGTTTATCCTGAATTACCACTATATTATCTTCTAAAGATAAAAGCAAATCAAATAATCTAATTGGTTTATCTGAAGAGGCTTTATCCCTTCTAAGTTCCGCTTCTAAAACGGGATTGATATCTATACCAAGTTTTCTCTGTATAGGTATTAAATTTCCCACTAATTCTAACAACAATTCATATGAATCATCAAGTGTTTTTCCATTGGGCTCGTGTTCTATTTGCTTTAATGTATTACTATTGATACCAAGTTTTTCTTGAATTGCTATTATATCCTTCTTTTTATATAAAAGCACTTTATAAAAAGGGGCAAATATTTTGCTTTGATCAGTTTTATTATTACCGTAATTTTCCATACAAGGTACCCCCCTTGATCAGTACCCCCCTTGATTCGTACCGGGTACGTTTCAAGGTCATTGGATGTAGTATATTGTAATATACCTAGGTACGAATCAATAACGTTTCCATTTTGTGATTTTCTATTGAAAATTTTTTTTCAATTAGAATATAGATTTGCAACTATATATGCTACAAATTGGAAGCGCACAATAACAGGTGGCGGCACTTTAAGTCAACTTGTTGCACTTAAATTGTTTCGTGAATCAAAAAATAGCTACAAGAATCTTGACTACTAATAATCAACTTGGTTCTGAAGCAGGAATCGATAGCAGAAACTCTGTGTATAAATAAGTATAAATACTACCTTGATCTTGAATCTTTCCTGTAATCAACTTAGTTCTTTAGGATGAGAGCAGGTTGGCAATGGAGTTCAATGGAGCCTAATGAAGCTCTGAATAGAGCCAATGGATATTAGTTTTTTGAGCTCCATTCACATAACCATTGAGCTCCATTGGCTCCATTGCCAACCTAGGATAAGAGGTGTGTGTAGAGACCTTTTACATAATGATTAATTAAAGATTTGATAACACACTGTAATTTATCTAGTGGTAACACATTTCAAAATAATTTATATAATTTTTAAATCAAATATATAGTACCAGAAGTTTTACAAGAAAAAACACATGTAAAGCATTAGATATTTATTATTTAGAATGATTATATGGAGGAATGTTTAAGATTAGAGGCACGACATCATGCTAAGTAAATCTTTTGAAAAAATGTTTGAATAAAGACCCAGAAAAGCAATTATAAAAGATCAGATGGTAAGTTTATTTAAACTTTGAAATCTGCTATTACAAATTATTCAACCTATTGATTCTCAAAACTTTCTGCCTTATTCTGATCATAATAATATTCAAATTCTTCTTGAACTGGAAAATTTTGTGCCGAGAAGCCTTGTGGTAAGAGATATGGTTGGGATAAAGAGTTTTGCTGAGACGAAAAATATTGTTTAGGTGAAAGGTTAGATGGAAAATCTTGGTGCTAAAAGTGTTGTTGAGGCGAAAGGTTAGACAAAAAATCTTGTTAGAGCTAAAAGTGTTGTTGAGACGAGAGATTATGCTGTTGGAGATTGTGAAGTGGAGGAAGATTTTGAAGTGGAGGGTATTGTTGATATTGGGATGGGAGGTATTGTTGGGATAGAAGGTCTTGTTGGAGTTTATCTCATTAAAATAAAAAGTTTTTTTAGGGCAAAAAGTTTTTTGATTAGAATTATAATATTAATATTTTACCATTTATAAAAATATATTCATTGTTTTCATTGTTTTCTACACGATCATAATCAAAAATCAAATCTTCTTCTGATCCGTTAGTTGCAATTAAAATGCCACAGCATTTAAAAGAACGTTGAATTAGTCCAGTATCAATAGTGTCCCATGCGTACTTTATCCATTTTGCAATAAGATTATACGGGGGACGTTTAATTTGGCCACTTTCAGTTAGTTGTCTTACTTCTTGTGCCATCCATTCGTCATATATATGTCTAATCTATTAATGAAAAAAAGATCATATATTATAAGGCACTTTATAGTACCCTAATTATGCTAAAAAAAAAAAAAAAACCTTCGCCTTAAAAGGCTTGTTAATTGATACATCGAGTGGTTGAAGTTTTGATGTTAATTCTCCAGGAATAATCGCAATATTAGTATTTTTTTCTGATAGCTTATTTTTGACAGAAGAAACCAAATGACCCTGAAAAGAATCTATTACTAATAGTGATTGTGGATTCTCAGAACTTGGTGTACGATTTTGCCAAATTTTCTCTACCCAAAAATTCATTTCCATTTCATTCATCCATCCTTTCTCATTAGCTCTAATGATTACACCTTGTGAAAACTCAAGACGTGGAACGTTTTTTAATTTAAAAATAATCATTGGTGGTAACTTTCTACCATCTGCCATACATGCAAGTACAACAGTAAAGCAGGATTTTTCATAACCACAAGTTCTAATGCTAATAGTTTTGTTTCCTTTAGTATCAATCGTTACATTACTCGGCATATCAAAAGCAAGAGGAGTTTCGTCCATATTGCCTATTAATGGTAATGGATAATCATATTGAATACGACGATATTGAATAAAATTTAAAAATGCTTGTTGCTGTGTTTCTAATTCTGCTGGCAATTTTTGTACAACTGTTGTTTTACGGCGGTTACTAAAGTTATATCGTCGTAAAAAACCATCAAGCCATTTAGTACTCCACTTGAACTCATTAATATTAGAATATTGAAGAATATATTTTGGCGACTTTGCTAATGCTATAGCTTTAGTT